GTGGAAGAAAAATGAATTAAAGAAAAAAATTAAAAAAAAAAGGCAAAATTTGGTTTGGCGGGGGGTTAAAAAAAAAAAAAAAAAAAAAAAAAAAAAAAACCAATATATATACTGTATATATAAGAATACTCTTTTGATCTTAATAAAGTTTCAACTTCTATTGGTGTTTAAATTCAAATACTAAAATTTATTATGTTTTTGAAATTACCAATAATTTCTTTAAAACTTTTATATCTTTTTTTTTTATTAATTTTTTTTTTAAAATTAAAAAAGATTTTTATTAGACTGATAATTGATTTATATGATTTTTATTTACCAGTACAAACTTTTTTTTCCCTTTTATCTTTTTTCTTTATTTTCAAAAAAATAAAAATTTTTTATTTCTTAAAACTATAAGATTGTGTTAAAGTAACAGTTCAAATATAAACTAGCTATAATTTATTAAAAAAAAGATTTTAAAATTTAAACTTTGAAAGAAGTAAATTTATTATTTCCTATAATTATATTTAAAAATAGGTCCCTAAATTATTTAGTATATAAAATTTCATAAATCAATTATGTTTTTTTTGAAAAGACATAATTATTTATTCATTATTTTAATAGGAACATAATTCAAAAAACATTTGGATCAAATAGTCTAAATTGTAAAAAATCTTTGTAGATGGTTTTTTTTTAATCTTATATTTTTAAAAAAACTTTTTTAACAATGAGAGATATTTTAATTATATTCTTATCTTTAATTTAAAAATCTATCTTTAATCATATATAAAAATTTAGAATTTGGAAAGTCTAAGATAGTTAATATTACATAATAATAACTTAATAAATTACTCTTTTTGCTTGTTATATGTATTTGAATAAAATTATCAAAAAAGGAAATACAAAATTTTGTCACAAAAAAAATTTCTTAGAGATTTTGAAGAAATCTTTTTCTTTAAGATCCAACTCAACAATTATAAGTATATCCTCCTGAATATTTTTATTACTAATATTTAAAAACCAGAAGTTATTATTATTTATAAGAATATCAAAATAAACAAAATTATTATCTCTTCACCAAACTTTTCTCTTAAACTTTCAAAACTTGAAAACACTTTTCAATCATAGTTTATATCAGTATGCTTTACTATTAAAGGTTCAAAAACATTCAAAGTATACATGTGGTGTAAATTATTTTGCTGTTGACTCAATTGCCAAAATCCTCAAAAATAATTGCGTCTGACTCAATTATTTTATATGTTTTAATAGTGACTCAATTAATTGCATCAAATAATTGCGTCAATTGCGTCAAAGATCTACCTATTTCTACCACATGTATAATTCAAAGTAATTGTTACTTTTTTCAAAATCTATTAGAAAATTAGAATTTTCATATCAATAATCATTGTTAATATCTTATACTTGAATTTTATACCCACAAACTTTTTTAATGTTTTTCTCGATTTTTAAATGTATTCAAAATTACTAACAAATATAGAATTGAAATAATAAAGAAAATTATAAAAATAATTAAATTATAAACTGTATATCCTATAGAATAAACTTGACATTATTTTTTTGAATACAGATAATATCTTTTCCCTGAAAAAAAATTTGTAACATTCAGATCCTTTCAAATATTCCACTTCAAATAAGGCATTAAATGATAACAATAAAATACAAAATAATTGTTTATTTAAAACTATATATATAATAGAAATTGATAGATTCTTAATATAATTTAATACAATTATTTGATACAATTAATTGAGTTATTATTTAAACATATAAAATAATTGAGTCAGATACAATTATTTTTGAAAATTTGATAAATAAGTTAATAGCAAAATAATTTATATCATATGTATATCTGAAATACATTATATATCAATTTCTAATTATAAAGTAAATCAAATTAGCTTTTATACAGAAATATGTACTACTTGCAACTTAAATCAAAACAATTCATTTATATTTATACTATCCAACATCAATATAAAAATAGAAATTGATAAATATTTCTTTTCAAGTTATTTAGTTAAATCCTGAAATCTCTTCTACTATTCTGAACTGACAAAACTAATTAATTTTTAGAAGCAACTACCAGTACTTCTCTTTTATCCTTCTCAGATATCAAAAATACAAATCCAGTATATGAGCAAAACAAAATCCTTGAACTGTGTAATAAACTTAACCAATGTGAAAGAACTATTAAATTTGTAGTCAACTTTTTCTTTAAATTAAAAGTAAACAAGCAGACTTCTTCAGAATATTACTTAAAGAAATATTTTTCAAAATCAAATATAAGAATAGAAATTTCTTTAAAACTTTTGCAAAAGAAGAATTAATTAAAGGACAATATCAAAAGGAATATGAAAATATTGAAAAAAAATTTCATACCAATTATCTCAAGTCTAATAACCTTGAATATATTATTAGAATCATCAAAAAAAAATCAAAATACTTATTAAAAAGACTTTTTTTATAGTTTATCTCAGATTCACTAATTTATCTTCATTAAATTTTGGCAAGCTGCTCAATTACTAGAATACAGCTTTAATTTCTTTATAGATTCCACACTTAAAAAAATTAATTATCATGAAATTTATAACCTTTGCAAAGAAACAATTCAAAAAAAAACTTTTTGATCTTTCTCCATTCCTAAAGACTAGAAAATTGAAATTACATAGACTCACAACCAATTATATTTATATTATATATATATATAGTATGTATTTTTATCAAAACTTGAAAAGTATCTTGTTTTTTTAATGATAGTTTTTTTCTTTTATAGGTTTTTTAGAAATACAGTATATTTATTACAGGGTAATAGGCTAACATACAGTATATAACAATGTATCTCAGTATCTTAATATTAATTATATAACATGATAAACTTTTACTTTATTAATAAAGATTATAAAAAAGGTTCACTTAACATTAAAAATCAATTGTTAAATATTGTTTTGGAATGATAATTAATTGAATTGTAAAACAGGCAAACGCCAAAGTTAATAATAATTTAATAATGTAATAGATAGACTAATAAATGATATGTACGCTAATTATTACTTTTTTTATTCAATTCCTATAATTTTCACGTTAAAAATTGTTATATAAGGCTTCGAGCATGACAAGTTGTACAACCAGAAACAAGGGTTTTTCTTATTGCATAAAAGAAATCTTTTTTTCTTTTCCACCACAAAACTGAAAATGCCAAAATTTAATCGGAAATACAATCCGCAGAAGCCTAACATTAAATCAGAAAGCAGAATAGTGAATATTCCCTGTGAAATTTTTACTGATATCTGTAGATACATACCTCCTATTGATCTTGTTACGCTATCAAAAGTTTGTAAGAAATTCCGTCGTTGGTTGGTTGCACCATCCAACTTTGGAACAGAGCAAATCTGGAAAACTTCGCGATCAATTTTTTTGCCAACGTTACGGTCACCTCCGTGCGGAATTTCCGAACAATGTTACGTATTTTTGAATTTGATTGAATTAGGATGCCAGTTTTGTGGTATTGGGAGAATTGTTTCACAGGGAGAACTACCTACGGAAGCACCAGTCAAGGTTTATTGGATGTTCAGAGTTCGTTGTTGTAAAAATTGTTTTTTGGAACGAGTTATAACGTAAGAAGACAGAGATTTTAATTGTTTTATGATTCAAAATTATTAATAGTAATCAATTGAACAGTGCTAATCAGATTAAAGAAGAAAAATATGTGCTCGACGTAGCACTCTCGGGAGTGCCATATTTAGTGCATATTAATCGCCCACACGTCTATTGGAAAAAGGATGTAGATGCAGCAATTCAAGAATATTCGAGAATAGATAAAAAGGATCTTGTTAGTTGGCAGAATGAAAAAATCCGTAAATTAGAGCAACATAATATGATTACAGCGTTTTGCAATGACACACATCATTTGAAACTTTTGGACAAATTGCGAAGGAAACAAAGACTGAAATCAATAATCCGCAGCCTATCAACGTTCGTTCCTAATGATGCTAACAGAACGCTTCTAGAAGTAGAAATAGAACTTCGTCGATGTCCAACACATAAAAAATATGCGTCTTCTGAGGTTATCAAACTCTTTACAGAAGATCATTGGAATCGTTTTCAAGAGATAATATATAGCGAATATAATGCAAAACGCGAGTATGCTGCTTTAAGAGCTAGGCAATATGAATTATTTTTGAAGGTAAAATGCGTATAATAATACTTGTACGGTATGCATTAAATACTAAATCCGAATCGATTTTTTTATCAGGTATATTCTTTGATCCCCTCAAAATATTCAATGAATGATCCCATTGTTCAATATCTTTGTCATTGCCCGTCATTTAAAAAATTGCCAAGCCATCAGGATGTAATTACACCTTGGGATGATAATTTTTTGGACAAAGAATTTATTCCCTTACTTGCACAGGAAGCCATAAATATTGCACGAAATAATCTTCGCATCCCTCCAATTACTACCGTGGGCGGTATGAAAAAACTTAGATTGATGAATAGGTGCGTTTTTCTGTGCAAATTATGCATTGGGATCAACTGCAACGAAGGATATGAAAAGAAAAAAACGTGTTTGGGTTTGTTTGATTATAAAAATCTTCTTGTGCACTTGAAAAGTAGACACGCAGTGCAAAAAATTGTGGATAAAGAAATGGTCGCGGTCGATTTCTTAGAGGTAGGAAAACAGTATTTGAAACGAAACTCTTATATAGTCTGCTTCTTTTTCCCTCTACAAAGTATTCCATTTAGGCAGTAAAAATTTAGTCGAATAAATATTGGTCTAAAAGTTGTGATTCTTAATAAACAAAAAATCTCATTAGATGAATGAATGTCTTATATAAAGAAACAAATACATTGTTACCTTAATCCTCATTAATGACCTTCTCGGCTTCCTTCAATTTTTTTTCTTCCTCTTGAGTTACGCGCGGATAACCTTCAAAGACTTTATACTCACCTGATCCGACTATTTTTATAATTTTTTCACCTTGTTCCAACATTAAATCTTCAACAGTGGTTCTCTTATCACGAAAGAATCCCAAATGGTCAGCAATCAAATGACGATTTAGACAGGATGGACATTCAATTAATACCACCCCTTGTTCATAAGCAAGTTTTGACATTGTTTTTGTTGAACGATGTAAGCAAACTTTGCATGTAAAAGATATTTGAAGACGACGTTCTGCGGCGCGATCAGGATCTAAACGCGTCGGAATAGTTGTGTCAGGAGAGATATCTGAGGACACTTCTGAGTTTGGCGATGAATTGGATTTGTTTTTGTTAAGATAGAAAGTAGTATGAAAGTTGGATTGTGGTAACGTTGGCCTATATCGAAAGGGTAAAATACCAAGTCTTAATTTAGATTGGTGCAAAAGGTACGTTGGTAAGATAATTGGAAATTTTTTATAAACCATCTGAAAAGTGTCGAATCGTTAAATCTGGATCTTAAGATTTATTGGTTAAAACAATATAAATTTAATCCCACAATTTACTAAATTTTCAGAATCGTTGTCTATATAAACTATCGAGCTCATATTACTATTGCCTCAAATTAATGAGTAAGGATAATATAGGATTTGGGTGATACCTTATCCACCATATACATTCTGTATATGTAGGTTCACCAATATTTGGCGGGATATAGGTCGGCCTTGAGTGTTCTTCGCCTACTTTGCGAAGTTCGTTCATGATGCTGATCTCCCGATTTTATTATATTCATTTTAATTACTTGCATTCAGATGAGTTTTCGTTATGGTATTATACAATTTCATCAGAATAATATATCAAATACAACAATTATTTTTTTGGGGGATTTTTTTTTCTTCAGGTAAAGAGTGCTAGTAGCACATGTGACTTTATTGAGTTATATATTTTTTGAAATCGCTGGGGTCGTTTATTTATTAAATCATAGTGACCATTACAATAACAATTGTATGTATAAATCTTCTCAATCCAATTTTTATTGAGTTATATTTTAATCAAAAAATTTGTTTTTATAAATTTATAAAAAAACAAATGTTTCAAGAAAATTTAACTATTTTTTTATAATAATATACTATATATACGTATATATTTTAACAATATTATTATTTAAAGATTTTAATTTTCTTAAATAAACTTCATATACTGTATTTTACAAGTAAATATAAAAAAAACCTATTTATAAAATTAAAGATAAAATTATATTGTTAGAAAAAAAATCATATTTAAAAAAGTATATATATGGGTAATTATTTTTGAAGGCAGCAAAAATGCTAGATATGATTTTTTCGATCCCTACTTTTAAACAATACATACACAATGTAAATTTTCGGCTCACAATTATAGCGACCGAAAAATCCCTGTCCGCCTTCGAAAAGAATTACCCATATATATATATTTTAAAGATTTAAAATTTTTAAAAAAATAGATTTTTGATTTTTAAAACTTTTGTTTTTTTTTTTTTTAAATATAGTAACGATTATATAAAATGCAATAGAAAAAAAATTGCATTAGATCAAATTATTTAGCACAATTTTGAAAGTATATTCTTTTTTTATTTATTTATTTATTTGTTAATAATATCAGTTTTCAAGAATAAAATTTTAATAATTATTATTATTACCAGTTTTGAAATAATCGATCAAAGAATATGAAACACATATTGCATTACTTTTGATTATTTTGAACAAAAAACCAGATGATAATTATTGTACTACATGAATATCATATAAAAAAGTAAATTTTGTTACTTATTTTATTATTATATCATATTGTAACTTTTTAATAAACAAGTTATAATACAAAAGTATTACATAACCTCTAAAAAAAAAGTTCAAATTTTTTTTTCATTATAAAAAAGATATATTATAAGAGAAATATCAAAAACATGACATATTAACCCATCCATGATTTTCTGTATTAAACAAAGATGGCTTGAAAATCACTTTCTTAAAACCTATCAAAATTAAGTCATTTACTTATCACAAATAAATTAACACAAAAAAAAAAGTGTAAATCTTATTATCTTATGCAAGTGTTCTTCTGCTTTTGAAATTAGAAATTATCTACTAAAACAAGAAAATAAGAATATTTTAGTACTTACTATTTAGCATATACTTCGAAATAATAAATTAATATTAAGAATTAAAAGAAAAAAAATCTTATTTAAGCAAAGAACACTAAAAATATTGTTTAAATTTTATATAAAAATATGAAAATTGAATAATTAATAATTGATTAAAGGTAATATGATTTGATGAAACAAAATTTAAAGTTTTTAGATCTAATATGAAACAGTATTATTGAAAGTATCCTAAGGAATCATTAAGTATTTTTTATATTAAGCCTATTATAAAATTTGGAGATGGATCTGTAATAATATGGAGATACTTTACATTATATGATGTTAATGGCTATTATAAGATTAATGAAACAATAAATATTAAATTATATCAACAAATACTTAATAAAGACTTTTTAAATACTATTAAAGTTCAAAAGTTTGCTGTCAAAGATATATTTTTCAACAAGATAGAAATCAAAACATATAGCAAATTTAACAAAACAATAACTTCATAATCACAAGATAAAGATTTTAAATTGGTCTGCTCAATCTCTAGATCTTAATTCCATTGAATATTTATAGAATAAGATTAACCGTCACCTTTGCCATCTCTCTAAATAAATTTCAGGCAAGGAGGATTTATGAATTAAGATTTAATAGGTTTGATAAAAATTGATATTGATATTTGTAGAAATTTGATCCACTCTATATTAGAAAGGATTTATGATATTATTAAGGTTCAAGATAAATATATAAGATGGTAACATGTATTATATTCAACCTAGCATATACAAAAAAAAATAAATAAATATGTATTAATTTGATTATATTGAGTTAATTAAATTATATTCAAAAAAAAATAAATAATACAATGGTACTTTTAAAAAAACTCTCAAATTTTAGAAGAATTTTTTTTTAAAAAAATTTTTTTTAATTTTTAATTTAAAACTGTAGCTATTGACAAAAAAAAATAAAAATTATATCATTGAATTTATATAAAAAAAAATTTTTCTAAATTGAAATCATATTGCATTATATATGATTGCCACTGTATATATATATGGGTAATTATTTTCGAAGGCGGACCGGAAATTTTCTGGTACTACAATTGTGATCCTAAAATTTACATTATGTGTGTATTGTTTAAAAGTAGGGTCCGAAAAAATCATATCTGGCATTTTTGTCGTCTTCAAAAATAATTACCCATATATTTTTTATTTTAGTTTAATTTTGAATTTTTAGTTATTTTTTTTTTCAAGTAAAAAGTATTAGTAGCATATAATCTTTACTAAGTAATTTATATCCAATTACATAACTATAAGATTTATTTAAGTTAATTTACCCTCTCACCTATAGCCTTATTCAGTTATATCAATTTACCACCTATAAGTGAGACTATATATTGATGAAATCTTTAGGAGATAGAAATCCTATCACTAGTTTTAAACTATCTAACCTAATCTAAATCCTGGCAATTGTTGTTTGGAGTATATATCTTTTAAGATTGGTTAAAATACCTGAATAACCCATTCAATACTTTTACCTGATTCTTTGGAGAAGATATTGTACTCTTTGTCACTAGCTGCAATTTCGAATTTCTCTTTTCATTAAGTCCTCTTTTTTTAAGCAAGTACTAGATTGGAATAGCCCTAGGCTAGAGTGTTTTTATGCTACAGAATCTGCTATGCCAGGAGAGTTATAGATAGTGTTACAAATCATTAGTTGGAAAGTTTGAAATTAATCAATCAGAGTATAAGAATTTTTAGTTGCAACTAGTTGATTATAATTAAAACAACTAATCAATTGGAAAAATTTTAACCAACTAAAATCATTAGTTATGGGTTTTTATCGGAGTTAAACCAGAAGTCTTTTCTCATATAATCTTTTCTGTTTTGACTTGTTTTTAGCCTGTGATCATCAAAAAGATCAGAGGTTCTATTTTCATACAGCCTAATTAAATTTGATTAGGATTCGGATGTTTAAAATATAACATTTATAGGAAAACTGGTAAATTCACAATAAATTTTTAATTATATTAAAATTTCTAAATACTATAATAATTAATTGAAAATTTGGATTAATTAATTAATATATTGTAATAAAATATATATTTTTCTATATATTTTATTTTGCCATCCTTTTATAAAAAAAAAAAAAAAACTCTTTCCTAATTACCCAGATTCATCTAAAATCTGCAGTAACCAGTCAAAAGTTTGCCTAAAGGCTCCATCCACTATGGCATTACACAGCAACAGTATTTCCAAGAGCAAAGGCCCACCTGCCTCCACCCAGCAACAGTCTCCAACACTCAAAACCCAGCAGAAACAAAAGCAAAAACAGTAGCTAACAGTACCCGAAGCAGGCAGTAGCCAGCCACCTGGCTGGATGCTACTATAGAGGATGGGATAGAAGCCTCCTTTGACTAGACAGCCAATATCTAAATGGATACAGAGGAACTATAGTGGGCACCCACCCCGCCTACCTTTGGTAACTCTGACGAGAACCCAACACTAATAAATCTAAAGAGCGAGGCAAAGGATGCCCTACCCATCCAACACTAATTATCCAAGCCAGTCAGACACCCCTATAGGCCGCCCACAGACTGGCATATCCAGTACGGCCGTTTCCACTTCAAAACGGCCATCCTGATAGAAAACCTGGCTGGCTCCATGGAGAAAAAACTCAATGTAGTTAAAGAAACAATCTCTCAACTTGACTTCTATATAGGCATCCATGTGGCACAGCAATAGGGCAAAATTGATCATTGTATTATTTGCCAATCAAAAAGATGTACAAAAAGCATACAAATTGCAAATTCAAGAAAATAACAACCATTGCATGGCCATATTGGCCAATCTTGACCTAAAAGAAACCAAGAACAAGTCAATCCATATCTGGGACATCCCCTTAACATCAATAAACAAGAGATCAAACAAAAACTTATCCAATTTGGGCAAATCAAGAACTTCAAAATAAATACTGCAGGCATGTGGCAATGCGTACTAGTCAAATTCACAGAATAGGAAGACTACAACAAAATTAATATAAGATAGAGCATTTCATTTAAGGGAGAACTCCTAAGAATATATCCTTTTTTGAAAACATTTGAGATTAAACAAGCACAAGATAAACACACCTTAAGATTTACCAATCTTCTCTCTGGAATTACAGAATATAACCTACATGACATCATCAGCATTACCAAAGCAGCAATCTGCCATATTCCTCGAAATCAGAACTATACAAAAAAACGATTTGCCTTCCTTAGCTTTACCTTAGCAGAAGCTAAGATATAAGTCAAAAATCAAGAAGTTCACTTGGAAAAAACACCTCTCAACTGATATGAAGTAAAAGAAATACTTTGTATAATTTGTAGTGCAGCAGATCACCTGGCTGCAAATTGTATAATCAAAGCAAAATGTCAAGAAAAAATAACAAATGCTGAAAGAGAAAGCAAAAAAATACAACTCACTTTATCAAAAATTCAAGCCAGCAGGTATGACAAATAACAGAAGGATGATATCCAAACCAACTAACAAACCAGCCAACCAAAATCACCTTAGAGCCTAGGAACAATTCAACAAGGCTTCTAACAGATTCACAAACAAAGAAACATTTGTTCAAATAGCTAAACAACTCTCCA